CTCCCAAATGTACAGGCCTAGGGTGGAGCAGACACTTTATTTAGAAATTAGGATTAAGGGTCTTGATATTGGGTTTTCTTCTGTTCTTATTCTGATCTGAAATTAGAAAAAATAACTCGCCCGATGGGCGAGAAGTATAGTATCTGTTATGTACTGATTGTTTTTAGTTTACTATGAACAATATTATCATTTAAGTTCTTATTTTTTGAATATGCAACTATCATTTTCTGCTTATAGACATGGGGGAATTTCTCTTGAAGGCTCTTATAGTGGGCATGAACTATCTTGCTTGTTCGATTGCTGGTTGTATTAAACGGGACAACAAAGGGTGCTATGCCTACATTATGATGAATATTTAGTCCTATAGGTCTTGCTGTATTCAATGTCTCAATCCAATGGGCCTCCCTAGATTGACGGAATTTGGTAGTTTCATCTTCGGGCAAGTCAATTTCTATACACTCAATTGGGATTAGGGTGAGATCGTCTATTGAATGGTCGTCGAGGTTGAAATGATTAGAAACAGGCTTGTCTTTCTTTAATTTGATGTCTGACCTATGAGCATTAAAGCGAGTTCGTAAATTATTCTTAGTTTCTCCTACATATTGTTTGGGGCATTTCTTGCATGCAATTAAATATATTACATTCGAATGTTCACATGTTAGATGTTCCTGGATCGGATACCTTTTATTCGTAGAGTTGCTTACAAAATAATGAGTTTCTGATATAAAGGGACATGTTTTGCATCTACTGGACAAACATGGAGCACTTCTTAAACTTGATTGTATTTTATCAAACAAGCTCCGAGACATAGAGTATCTCTTTTAGCGTAAGGTTCCCATTCGTGTCTTAAAGATTCCCAATTATCTTTAGTGTATTTTGCAATATTAACATCCTTGATCTTTCTCAAATTCATTGGATGATTTTCCCCATGCTGCCAAACTAGATGATTTGTGTTGATAGGAACATGTGAAATTAATATTTTGCAAATAATTAGAGTTACCCTTTATTTCTTTCTGTCTTTTCCATTTTTTCTGTAAATA